CTGTATGACACATCAACTGTATGACACAACAGCTGTGTGTCACAACAGCTGTATGACACAACAGCTGTATGACACATCAACTGTATGACACAACAGTTGTATGACACATCAACTGTATGACACAACAGCTGTATGACACAACAGCTGTATGACACAACAGCTGTATGACACAACAGCTGTATGACACAACAGCTGTGTGTCACAACAGCTGTGTGTCACAACAGCTGTATGACACAACAGCTGTATGACACATCAACTGTATGACACAACAGCTGTATGACACATCAACTGTATGACACATCAGCTGTATGACACAACTGCTGACATATTCACAACTCAACATATACAACACAACTATTGTATGACACATTCCACTAATTACTTTTACCACAATAATACATTAAATGAATATGCAAATTAGTCTAATACTAATAATAAGTATGTAATTAAAGGCTATTAATTATTGCCTCATTCACAGCCTGAATGAACATTAACAATGTTCACCTCGAGATATTGAACAGTTGTATAAAAAAAACTGAATTATTTAGTTAAATTCAATTTGAGAAATTAACTCTAAATTTTAATGAGGATGAGATCTATTCTATGAATGTCATTAATGTGAAAGGAAAACCTTTTTGTGCTTTCTATTTACCATGTTAAAGCCTCTGTCCATAAATAAAATTTTGAAAAATGTGATGAAATAAAAATTTACAGCAAATATGAAGAATATTTATGTAATTGTCTTTCAGTTTATCTTTGCTTGGTCTACAAAATAGGGTAAAAATGTGGCTTAGTTCCTATATCATTCATCTAGTTCAATATCATTCATATTTTCTTGGGATTTCAGCTCAATAAATTGATTAATTTTGAAATATGATGTATTTTTGATATCGTAAACATGTTTAGCTATGAGGCTATTTGAGGGGGTATCTATCCTGCTCCGCGTTTCTCCTCCTTTCACTTGCTCTCATCTCCCGTCTCTCCTCTCTCCCTCTCCCATTATTTCCGCCTGTGATAGGCCCACACCCCACATGCTTCATGATGCAAAGTTGTGCGAGTTTAGCCCAAAGTATCTGACTTCAAAGCTCGGATAGTCGAATAGAGAGACGGTCAGATGGACATTTCTACTGAAATATATATATATATATATATATATATATATATATATATATATATATATATATATATATATATATATATATATATATATATATATATATATATATATATATATGAGAAACGTCTGAAGTGGACGAAAGTTTGACTGATGTAGTTGAGTTCTTACGTTAAATATTTGTTTATAACAGTGGGTGTAGAAGCCAATAGACCCCCCAGCAACACCAGGCAGGTGGGTGTAGAAGCCAATAGACCCCCCAGCAACACCAGGCAGGTGGGTGTAGAAGCCAATAGACCCCCCAGCAACACCAGGCAGGTGGGTGTAGAAGCCAATAGACCCCCCAGCAACACCAGGCAGGTGGGTGTAGAAGCCAATAGACCCCCCAGCAACACCAGGCAGGTGGTTGTAGAAGCCAATAGACCCCCCAGCAACACCAGGCAGGTGGATGTAGAAGCCAATAGACCCCCCAGCAACACCACGCAGGTGGGTGTAGAAGCCAACAGAGACCCCCTCCCCCCCCCCAACGACACCAAGCATGTGGGTACAGAGCTCTTTAGAGCCCGACAAGAGGCAATCTCGCGCTCTTCTGTTATGGATGTGTGCTCAAAATGAATGCCCCGTTTCAAAGGCAGTTCTAAATAAGATTTTAAAATTGCATTACTGGGAATTTACTGCCCCACGTTAACAAGGTCTTTCAATTTGGATTAAATGTAAAGTTTCCTTTCTAATGGCTATATTATTCGGCTTCTGGCGAGAGGAAACTTAATAACATGGAAATAGAAAGATATATTGAGAATAACATAAATAAAAAGAGGACAAGTATTTACCAAACAGAAAAGAGGCAAGAGAGGTAGGAAGAAAGTTAGGAATAAAGGGAGGGAGAAGGAGAGAGAGAGAGAGAGAGAGAGAGAGAGAGAGAGAGAGAGAGAGAGAGAGAGAGAGAGAGAGAGAGAGAGAGAGAGAGAGAGAGAGAGAGAGAGGGAGAAGAGAGAGAGAGAGAGAGAGAGAGAGAGAGAGAGAGAGAGAGAGAGAGAGAGAGAGAGAGAGAGAGAGAGGAAGGAGATGTAATCCATTTAGATCGCAGCTCGCTATTAAAATTACACATTTAATCTGTCAAAATGAAAATATTCCCTTTTATTGAAGTTTTCGACAATGAAATGGAAAAGCTGTGTTATATAATTAAATAAGTTTTAACACACTTTTTAGTGAGTTTAGTCGAGTCAGTGGGATGCTAAAGGAATATTTACCGGCGGGTCCAATATTCCTCGTCGTTAATACTCCTCAATCATAAAAATACGTTGTTTGTCATAAGGTTTTATCAACTGAAAAGGGTGAGCAATCGTGGGGCCTCGAATGGTCATAGTTCGAGCCCTGATTTGTCCTAAATATCGATATTTTTCATGTATTGCTGTCATTTCCACTTTAAAAGTGTTTCACTGAAGACGGGACCAAGAAATGTCTGGGGGGGCAGGTATACATATTTATGTATACTTTATGTATAAATGTATACACATTTATTAGGGGCAAAGGGTTTTATATATATCATTTCGTGTCAAATTTGCAGCCTGGAATGACACGCGCCGTTTGAACTTCGTGTGAGGACAGACAAAAAATTGAAGGAAAAGTTATTTTCTACTAAATTTGATTTACAAAACAATTTGAAACAAATATCATGACAAATTATAATAAAGGGCATTCAAACAAAACTTGATTTGGTCTTCAGTGAAATTCAAACACACACACACACACACACACACACACACACACACACACACACACACACACACACACACACACACACACACACACACACACACACACACACACACACACACACACACACACACACACACACACACACACACACACACACACACACACACACACACATGATTGACTACATGATCGACCTTAAAATTGTGTTCACGGGAGAAGAGGATTGGCAAAGGAGAGTGAAATATCTGGGAGAATATCTATTCCCTCTATCCATCTGTCTATCCATGTATTTATCCATCTCATCTTTCCCTGTCCCCCCCCCCCCCCCCCTCTCCCCATTAGACATCTTCACTACATACTATCTTCACTGTAAAGTAAATGTACAACACCATAACTATCTTCATCACTGTAATTATCTTCCTATTCCAGTATCCACTGGAATTATACGGTAACCTAGCCGTCTGCTATCGCCGTACCTATCGATGATAGGTACGGCGATAGCAGACGGCTAGACATCAGCGAGGCACTACATATCAAAAAGTCAACACCAGCAATCAACAGCCAGTTAATGCACAACTATATTCTACCTACTTCAAGACCCCGAACCAATATGGCAGCAGCAAGAGGAAGTATGGGCCAATAGACCTTCTGCAGTTTCTTCCATTCACTTATCCAATTTATACCCATTGTTTCGTGTTCTGTCTTGTGTTTGTCACCTCACCCAAAACTTTTGTACCACATCACCTCATCCAATAGAGTATAAGTGCGAAGAATTTGTATGTAAATTAAGTCTTTGAAAATGTAATACGAATTACGAAACGCGTTCAGGCGTCAGACAATTAAAAAATGAATTTTGGAGAATTGTTATTTTTATTACCACCGACAGTGAGGAAAAACATAAGAAATATTGAGAAGATTCGTGTTAGAATTATTAATCTTACCTTTTCGGTCATATTCAACAACATATGTTTACAAGAAAGACTGCTACCAAAATATACTAATTAATATATATATATATATATATATATATATATATATATATATATATATATATATATATATATATATATATATATATATATATATATATATATATATATATATATATATATATATCTGTGTGTGTATACGCCTCGTTTCATGGAAGAGCAAATCCAATATTGTTAACCTAGTGATGGAGAGCACTTTATTGACCCGGCCGTTGTGGTAATCTCCTTCACCCCCAATATGTTCAGTTTATAGGGTTAGTGTATAACAAGTGAACAATGTGTTACAGGTGAACAATGTGTGACTCAGGTGAGAGATACCGTATAGAAGGTTCGAACCCCGGTCTTGATCTCTTCAAGCAATGAGTGACCCTGATGAGCCAAGGTTCAATCCCATGTAACTACCTCAATATTTTCTCAATAACTTATACAATTTTGTTTCCAAACTTGAAAAATGCGAATTGTTATCACCATCTTGAGAATTCTCGACCTATTGAACTTCAGTGAACGTATTGAACGTTGTGTAGTTCAGGTTATCGTGCAAGTTATCGTTATCGTGATTTTCATCCATTTCCCAGATATAACCAAAAAGATATCAGACAAACGTTATAAAGTTATATTTTTTAGTAATTCATGACATTTTTAACGAATTGGGACGATTCTGTCTTGAATGCAACTTATTAAGAGAGAGAATGGATTGCACTAATGTTGCAGAGAGCAACTTGCCTACCCTCAAACTCTCAGAAATTGAGGAATCCTAATTACAGACTAATGGGCCATTCAAAAAGTCATTAAGGGGTCCAGCAATGGTCATTCGTCAAGCTAAGTGGTGTTTGAGAATACTGCAATAACTCACACAATGTGTGTGTGTGTGTGTGTGTGTGTGTGTGTGTGTGTGTGTGTGTGTGTGTGTGAGTGAGTGTGTGTGTGTGTGTGTGTGTGTGTGTGTGTGTGTGTGTGTGTGTGTGTGTGTGTGTGTGTGTGTGTGTGTGTGTGTGTGTGTGTGCATTTGCGTGCGTGTGTGCGTGCACTAAATGTTAACATTATTTACCTACGCAGGGCTCGCATATACACTTTTCAATCATAAAAACTTTCCTGTTTTATATTTAATTTTCCTGATTCTATTAAAACAAAAAGAAGTCTAATAAATTCGTCAGAAACAAGTGATGCAGTAAAGTTACCTTCAGACAAGTCTTTTTCAGCGTCAAAGTCTGACTCTGGAGATATTCCTTCAGTAACTCGGGCCACCAAAGTCCAGCCATTAGCCTTTCGGTCTAAGGCTTGAAATCTGGAGTCTGAAAACCAGCAGTTTCTGGCATCTGGTTGATGGGGGATATTAATTAGACTTTTCATGCGTTTCTGACAGAGGCTCAGGTGACTGTACCTCCAGGTGACTGTGCCTCCAGATGACTGTACCTCCAGGTGAATGTACCACCAGGTGACTGTACCACCAGGTGACTGTACCTCCAGGTGACTGTACCTCCAGGTGACTGTACCACCAGGTGACTGTACCACCAGGTGACTGTACCACCAGGTGACTGTACCACCAGGTGACTGTACCTCCAGGTGACTGTACCACCAGGTGACTGTACCACCAGGTGACTGTACCACCAGGTGACTGTACCACCAGGTGACTGTACCACCAGGTGACTGTACCACCAGGTGACTGTACCACCAGGTGACTGTACCACAGGTGACTGTACCACCAGGTGACTGTACCACCAGGTGACTGTACCACCAGGTGACTGTACCACCAGGTGACTGTACCACCAGGTGACTGTGATTTACGACTCCAGCTGATTTGATACAGTTTAACGATTGACAGATGACAGTTCAAGACCACAACATAAGAACGATTATTTATAATGGTAATTTCAGATCTGGATTTGTACTTTCCACAAATATCTTTCAAGACACTTGACCCCTAGGTCACCCCAAGTGGCCCTGGGCCAGCCCTCATGGCACTGCTGGGCCATAAAGGGTGTTCTGAGTGGAAGGAAGCTATAATAAGGGCCCAATATATTAAGGTGATATAAGGCTTGTTTATGGTAATCTTGGATGAGTTAATGTATAATTATATTGATCAGAGCTTAATGATGACGGGTTTGAGGTGTGTAGGGGGGAGGGGGGTGTGGTGATGGGGGTGTGGTGGTAGGGGTGTGGTGGTAGGGGTGTGGTGGGGGGGTTGTGGTGGGGGAGAGGAGAGAGTAGTGACCTGGAAGTGTTGAGACCTGGATGGTGAGAAAGGGGGAATGGGGAAAACTCTTGATCTAAATGCCAACAAAAATATACTAGTTGATCCATAATGGCAACACCTAGGAGGTCATAGGTCACCAGAGTCGACCAGGGCCTCTCACGTGACCTTGAAGTCAACAGGCACCATATAAGATGCCAACAGAGCAGAAGACGATGCTAAACATATTGGGCAATAATCATAGCGAAGCTAACATACGAGTCGTAAATGCTCATTCACGTCTTAAGTCAGAAACACGTAAGATCAGACCAACCTGAGATTTAAGACCCGCACAGAAATGTTCCTGCAATATATTATTGAAATAAATTCTGTTTAGAGGTACTGTCATTCCTTATCATACCTGTCATATTAGGTATGATATAACATACCTGTTATATTGAGGTATGTTATATCATTACCTTAATATAGCAGGTATGCTATATTAGTAGCATATACCTCTTATATTAAGCCTGTTATATTATGGCTAATAGACCTGTTATATTATGGCTGATAGATCTGTTATATTATAACTTTTATATTGGTATGACCTGTTATATAACATATAATATGGCGCTGTATAGTGTATGTTATATTTTAGGGTATATTTATTGTTTCAGTATAAACTCTTGTGGGTACCCGTGTATACTAATGAATTACGAGTACCCATGTATACTAATGTATTATGGGGTACCCATGTATACTAATGTATTATGAGTACCCATATATACTGACGAGAACGAGGCTCGTCCCAGAATTCCGAGTGTTAGAGAATGAAGAGCGACTGAAGGAACCAAACCTGACGACCCTTAACAGATGAAATATTAACACTGAATACCAATAAAACAAGGAAGCATGTGTGGAAGCCTGAGACTAAAATGTGTCATAGAGATTTTAGAAAAGTTTTAATTTAACGTAAGAGTTCTAGGATGATAATGAACTAAAGAACAGGTTATAGAAGCCAACTCAATTCATGAGTGTAAAAGTTGATATGAGAGGGAAATAAGGCAGGAGTTGTTGCATTAAGCAACCGGCGGCTAGAAAGGCGGGGACCAAGAGCTAATGCTTGATCCGGCGTGCGTGGTGGGTTAGTAGGGATGGTAGGCACTTAAACTGCTGTGGGAGCGTGTTATATATCTCCCCGTTGCTGTGGGAGCGTGTTATAAAGCCTCCCGTTGCTGTGGGAGCGTGTTATATATCTCCCCGTTGCTGTGGGAGCGTGTTATATATCTCCCCGTTGCTGTGGGAGCGTGTTATATATCTCCCCGTTGCTGTGGGAGCGTGTTATAAAGCCTCCCGTTGCTGTGGGAGCGTGTTATAAAGCCTCCCGTTGCTGTGGGAGCGTGTTATAAAGCCTCCCGTTGCTGTGGGAGCGTGTTATATATCTCCCCGTTGCTGTGGGAGTGTGTTATAAAGGCTCCCGTTGCTGTGGGAGCGTGTTATATATCTCCCCGTTGCTGTGGGAGTGTGTTATAAAGCCTCCCGTTGCTGTGGGAGCGTGTTATAAAGCCTCCCGTTGCTGTGGGAGCGTGTTATATATCTCCCCGTTGCTGTGGGAGCGTGTTATATATCTCCCCGTTGCTGTGGGAGCGTGTTATAAAGCCTCCCGTTGCTGTGGGAGCGTGTTATATATCTCCCCGTTGCTGTGGGAGTGTGTTATAAAGGCTCCCGTTGCTGTGGGAGTGTGTTATATATCTCCCCGTTGCTGTGGGAGCGTGTTATAAAGGCTCCCGTTGCTGTGGGAGCGTGTTATATATCTCCCCGTTGCTGTGGGAGCGTGTTATAAAGCCTCCCGTTGCTGTGGGAGAGTGTTATATATCTCCCCGTTGCTGTGGGAGCGTGTTATAAAGCCTTCCGTTGCTGTGGGAGCGTGTTATAAAGCCTCCCGTTGCTGTGTGAGTGTGTTATAAAGCCTTCCGTTGCTGTGGGAGTGTGTTATAAAGCCTCCCGTTGCTGTGGGAGTGTGTTATAAAGGCTCCCGTTGCTGTGGGAGTGTGTTATAAAGCCTTCCGTTGCTGTGGGAGTGTGTTATAAAGCCTCCCGTTGCTGTGGGAGTGTGTTATAAAGGCTCCCGTTGCTGTGGGAGTGTGTTATAAAGCCTTCCGTTGCTGTAGGAGCGTGTTATATATCTCCCCGTTGCTGTGGGAGCGTGTTATAAAGCCTCTCGTTGCTGTGGGAGCGTGTTATAAAGCCTCTCGTTGCTGTGGGAGCGTGTTATAAAGCCTTCCGTTGCTGTGGGAGTGTGTTATAAAGGCTCCCGTTGCTGTGGGAGTGAGTTATAAAGCCTTCCGTTGCTGTGGGAGCGTGTTATAAAGCCTCCCGTTGCTGTGAGAGCGTGTCATAAAGCCTTCCGTTGCTGTAGGAGCGTGTTATATATCTCCCCGTTGCTGTGGGAGCGTGTTATAAAGCCTCTCGTTGCTGTGGGAGCGTGTTATAAAGCCTCCCGTTGCTGTGGGGGCGTGATCGACGCTTGATTGTCGCCCCCACCCCCCCACCCCCAAACAATGGGCAACAGCAAAGGTGAACTTCATGGTGAGCAATCAAGGGATTAAACTCATAAGGGTGAAAAACACACCATCGACGAACCTCCATTAGCAAATTAGCAAAGGGACGTCTAATAACTCATCGTGGCGTAGCCATCACTGTCTTCCTTCACCAGGATATATTGTGTGAATGTTACTTCTTTCTTTGTATAAACCCAGGTTGGCCTTAGGTTAGGTGGGTCGGGGTTTAAACTTATATGGAGTGGGGCAAGGTTTTAACTTATATGGGGTGGTGTGGAGGTTTTAACTTATATGGGGTGGTGTGGAGGTTTTAACTTATATGGGGTGGTGTGGAGGTTTTAACTTATATGGGGTGGTGTGGAGGTTTTGTTTACTTGTCAGCTGTTTTGTTGATGGTCCTAGTCTCAGCTGTTCATGTCTGTGTTTACATCCAGTTCGACCAATGAACATTCTCCGGTAGTCAGTGTTGTATATGTTATTCGCAATCACACTCTCCTCCGACAGTCTCTTGTTTTTCCCGTGCTTAAAACCGGTTCTGTGGAGTGGTTCCACACCGACGTCGTTAACGAGGTTCTGGTGAACCCTCGTAGGTAGTCTCTGGTAATCACTCTCGGTCAAATTGCCCGGTTTCGAGGGTAGAATGTCTGCCAGCCACTTTGGACCGTGTCAGATCAGTAGCTGGGATGACTGGCTTTAATCTGATTCCTCAACTGGGAGGCTGGAATGAGCTGGTCGACTCTATCCTTCTGCCTCTGTTGCTGGGTGGTAGAGGAGCTGCCAGACTCTGCTGCCTCTATTACCAGTGTCTGGGAGATAGAGCAGATGCCGGACTCTGATGCCTCTATTACCAGTGTCTGGGAGGTAGAGGAGCTGCCGGACTCTGCTGCCTCTATTGCCAGTGTCTGGGAGATAGAGGAGCTGCCGGACTCTGCTGCTTCTATTACCAGTGTCTGGGAGGTAGAGGAGCTGCCGGACTCTGCTGCCTCTATTGCCAGTGTCTGGGAGATAGAGGAGCTGCCGGACTCTGCTGCTTCTATTACCAGTGTCTGGGAGGTAGAGGAGCTGCCGGACTCTGCTGCCTCTATTGCCAGTGTCTGGGAGATAGAGGAGCTGCCGGACTCTGCTGCCTCTATTACCAGTGTCTGGGAGATAGAGCAGCTGCCGGACTCTGCTGCCAGTGTCTATACCACTCTGCTGTGTCTGGGAGATAGAGCAGCTGCCGGACTCTGCTGCCTCTATTACCAGTGTCTGGAAAGGCAGTCTCCCACTAACCATTATGCCCTTGTTAATGGTCCAAGACGGACCGAAACGTCGTGGTCTCCTCATCTTGTGATGTGTGATCTGGTCATCATATCTTCAGCCACGTTATTGTGACTCATCATACCATAAGGGCTCTTTAGTACGACAGCTTCTTGACGTTGGGAAACCTTGAGAAATACTCGGAAAATACTTAGGCTGAAGTATTAACCCCAAGAATGCATTTGAGTGTAGGACAGGAAGAGAATTAAATGTCAATATATATGTATGTTCCAGTCTATAGGGTAGAGCGACAAAGGCAAGAATGAGATGAATGTCTTCCGGAACAAATTTAAGAATTCTGTGGAAAGGTTTAAGACTGT